CCACCATTCCGGAGGACATGCGTCCATACTGATGACGGGTTCTGCTCAATAATGATCCAAAGCAATGTGGACCGATGCATGTTTATTTTCGTCATCTGAGTCAGATGCCACCAGCAGAAGGTTGATTTTCTCTTTTGGTGGTTCGGGTTCTGTAGTTTTCACCTTGGAGTGTTGCTCTTTTAAGACTTCTGAAAGCATGCTCCACACCTCGTCCCTCTCAGATTTTGGGTTGAGTGCTGTAGCTATCTTTAGAAATCTCATATTGGTATCTTCTTTGTGTTTTGTCAAATCTGCAGTGAAAGTGTTCTTAAAACAAATGGGCTGGGTCATCATCCGAGATTGCTATAACATGAAATATATGGCAGAATGCGGGTAAAACAGAGCCAGAGATGTACAATTTTCCCCCAAGGAGTTGAGTCACAAATGTAATTAACACATTTTTTTTAATAAGCATCGTCAGCATGGAAGCATGTCCTCTGGAATCAGGGCCGGCTCCAGGCACCAGCTTACCAAGCAGGTGCTTGGGGCGGCCGCTCCGGAGAAGGGGTGGCACGTCCAGCTGTTCAGCTGCAATTCAGCGGACGGTCCCTCACTCCCACTCGGAGCGAAGGACCTTCCCGCGAATTGCCGCCGCAGATCATGATCGCGACTTTTGTTTGTTTGTTTGGCTGCTTGGGGCAGCCAAACCCCTGGAGCCGGCCCTGTCTGGAATGGTAGTTGGAGCACAAAGGGGCATCTGAATATCTGGCATGTAAATACCTTGCAACGCCGGCTACAACAGTGCCATGCGAACACCTGTTCTCACTTTCAGGTGACGTTGTAAACAAGAAGCGGGCAGCATTATCTCCTGCAAATGTAACCAACCTTGTTTGTCTGAGTGATTGGCTGAACAAGAAATAGGACTGGGTGGACTTGTAGGCTCTAGAGTTTTACATTTTTATTTTTGAAAGTAGGTTTTTGTACATAATTCTACATTTGTAAGTTGCACTTTCACAATAAAGAGACTGCACTACAGTACTTGTATGAGGTGAATTAAAAATATTATTTCTTTTGTTTATTTTTACAGTGCAAATATTTGTAATAAAAATAACACTATAAAGTGAGCGCTGTACATTTTGTATTCTGTATGGTAATAGAAATCAATATACTTGAAAATGTAGAAAAATATCCAACCTATTTAATAAATTGGAATTGGTATTTTATGGTTTAACACTCATTGATCTCAATTAAAAAAACTAATTGTGATTAATTTTTTGGTTAATCATATGCATTAACTGTGATTAATTGACAGCCGCGGTTGGTACCAGGCCGTGGGGTGTATAATCTAGGACCAGGCCCTGCCTGACGCCTCCCTCAGCGGGCGGGGCTGCGTGCTGAGTGCCGTCTGGCTCCCAGGGCCCAGGCAGAAAGGGGCAGTTGCTGCTCTGCTCAGGGTGGCTCTAGGTTTTTTGCTGCCCCAAGCAAAAAAATTTTTGGCTGCCCCCCCCCCAGCCCTGGGCTCTCCCCGCACCCCCACCTGCACTCCCTGCTGCCCCAGCCCTGGGCTTCCCCCCACCAGTGCTGACTCCGCCCGCTCCCCCCTCGCCTCCAGCCAGTCCGGCGCTGGCAGGGTCGGGGTAAGCAGCGGGGCTCCCGGGCCGCGCCTCAGCCCAGGGTCCCTCCAGCTGGGGCTCCTGCTGCCAGGACCTGGGAGGGCAGAGCCAGGGGACTGAGGAGCCGGGGCAGGGTAGCCCCAGAGGGAGCAGAGCCCTGGCGAGCGGGACACGGGGTCCGCATGGCAGTGCCCCGGGCTCCGGTCCCCACGATGGCCCTGCTGCTGCTGCTCCTGGCTGCAGTCCCTGGGCGGCTCGGGCCGCTTTGCCGAGCCCCGGCTGTGGCGCTGGGGGGCGGCCGCCCTGCGACACCTGCAGGCAGCTCCCTGTGCCCCGCAGGGCGGCCCCCAGCCCAAGTGTCCTGCGCTCGGAGCCCGCCCGGCCATAAGGTGCAGGCGCTGCTCCCCAACACAAACCGCAGTGGCCCCAGGGCTATGCGCTGCTGCTGCCAGGGCCGGCTCTAGGCTTTTGCTGCCCCTGAAAATGTGCCGCCCCAAGCACGTGCTTGGTTTGCTGGAGCCGGCCCTGGCTCTGCTCCGGGGGGGCCTGCCAGCCAAAGTCACCAAGCGCCGGCTTGAGGCATCTGCACCAGGCAGGGATCCACCTGTGCTCTGATGAACAGAAGGTTTGGGCCCTGCTGAGTGCAGCCCGGGGTGGGGCCCTGACCTCAGCCCCCCACCCCCCCCAAAGCCTCGGTCCTGGGGCCCACTCAGCAAGGGGCTAGGGGATGCCAGCAGGGCAATGATGGGGGATAGAAAACAAGGGGCCCGGGGCGTGGGGGGGGGGGGGCTGGTCATGGCAGCCCTGGGTCTGAGAGCAGCTGCCCCCTGGACTCAGAATTCGGCCCCCTTCTCCCCCCCCGCCCCTCCCGAGCTTGGTTTCTTACTGAGCTGAGCACCCCAACGCCACTGCAGGGGGGTGCTCGCCAGGCCCAGCTCCTCCCCCCACATCCTCCCCTGTCCCACCCCCGAGCTGGCCATGCCCATGGCTGCTGCATTGGTCCGTCCCGGTCATGGCTGTTTGTGTATTTATTGGCTCACACCTCAGGAAAATAAATGTGTTCACACGCTGCCGGGCGCTGTGGTCCTTGGGCGCTGGGCGTGGGGGCTGCAGCCCGGGGTCCAGGCATGGCAGAGATGCCTGGGAGTGGGGGTGCAGCTCCCCCCGCACGGTACGGGGTGGGAACAAGGAGGCAGGGGCAGGCTTGGGGGGGGTGTCAGAGCCAGGCTGTGGGGGAGCTGGTGCGCTGGGGCAAAAGGGGTGGGGGGCCCACACAGCGGAGTGGTCGTGGGAACCAGTCCCACCAGCCAGCTGAGTGGCCCCGTGACAGGTCTCCCCGGGGCTGCAAACCCAGACAGGGGGGTGGGAGTGTGTGTGTGGGTCCTTGTGATGCGTTCACGGGGCGGGCCCATGCCCTCCGCGGGGGGGGGGGGGCAGACATGCAGCCCCTCCCTGTGCTCCATGGGGCTCCCCCCGAGACACAGCCCCTCCCTGTGCTCCATAGGCGCGAAGGCCTGTGTGCGGCCAGGGCCCCCTGTGTCTTGGGGCTCCTGGCCGGGGGGGGCGGGGGGGGGGCAATGCACCGGCCTGGCGGGTGGGGGGGGGAGCGCCCCCGGGTGCTGGGCTAGACCCAGGGGGGGGAAAGCCACAGGGCCCCGCGAAGCGCCCCCCCGGCTTCTGGTGCCCAGCGGGGGATCCCCTGTGACCCCCATCCCAGGCAGACCCCCCTACGGGGACTGGAGGCGCTCGCACTCCGTGTTGCACCCTGGGGTGGGGGGGAGCGCAGAGCTGGGCCGGTCTTCGGGCCACAGTGGCGGGGGCAGAAAGGAGCAAATGGCTTACGGGACAAATGGAATGGGGTGGGGGGAACCCGGGACGGTGCAGAGTGGGGTGGGGAAGGAGCCACCCCCCCGACTTGTTCTGGCCCACGAAACCTTCATCTGCCTCTGGGACCAGCTTTGGGCTGGGGGGGCACCAGGAGCCAGGCCCCCTTGCTCGGCCCATAGTGCAGGGCACTTCCCACAGCTCCCCGGGCACTGGCAGGGCCTGTCCCCCCCCCCCCGACCCTGCGTGCAGCTGCATGACCCATGGGGATCCCCTGGAAGGCGTTCGACCCCTGTCCCTGGGGTGGGGCACAGACTGCCCCCCCCCTTGCCCGGAGCTATGGGCCCAGCCGCAGGGAGAAATCGCTCCAGCACCGCGGAGGGCTTGTGAGAGCAAGTTTATTTCATTCTTTTGGCACAAACAGACCCACAGCAACAGCCCCCCCACCCCCACGCAGGTCAGCCCCCCCACCTCTGCCCCCTGGCATGCACCTCTTTGTATCTGGGGGGCCAGGTGGGGGCTGCCCCCTTGGGATCAGGGCTGGTGGCTCCTGCCGCACCTGTTGTGGTGCCTGTGCAATGTTGGGCCCTGGGGCAGCCTCACCCGAGCCGCTCCCTGGGCTTGGCCTAGTGGGGGGCTCAGCCCTGCCATGCCCATGGGTCCCCCTTGGCTAAGGCCACCTCCCCCCTGCAGCAGCCCTGGCTGCATGGGCCTAGCCCCCACCCCCCTCCCTGGGGGCGCTCGGCTGGGGGCTCCTCCCTGGCCTTGGCCCTCACTCAGCCGGAGCCAGCGCTGCCCCACCGGCCCGGCTCTGCACCATGTGCGGGAAAGCAAGTCCTGCCCCCTCTGTGCTGGTGCTCCCTGGGCTGGCCCAGCCCCCCGCCCGCCCCCCAGTGCAAAATCTGAGCTGGGAAAATAGATCTACATAAAAATCACTGATGGGGGTCGGGGGTTGGCACTAGGCAGGGCTGGGGCAGGCAGGGAGGCCGTTGGTCGTGGGCTCTCCCTGGCATTGCCCCCATGGCAGGGCTCCACGGCCTGCCAGTACCCGGGCTGGGCTCCGGCCGCTATCCTCCGCGCTGTGCTGAGGGGGGCCGCTCTGGCCCTGCCCCTCACAGCTCAATGGTGTCACTCGACAGGCTGCGGGAATCCACCTGCTTGCTGAGCGCCAGGAAACTCCTCCTGGCTTCGCGCTCAGAGTCTCCGGCCCCTCCCGTGGTGCTGGGCCTGGGGGCCTCGTCGGGGAGCAGCGGGGCCCGGCTGGGCGTCTCCTCCAGGGGCAGGCTCTCCAGCGAGGAGAGGCCGTGCCGCCAGGGGTTCCAGCTGATCTTCAGGGAGCCCTTGGAGAAGCTGTCGAGGGAGCTGCCCGAGATGGTGCCCTCGGTGGGGGGCTGGCTGGGCAGGCCCTTGCTCGGGGGCAGGCTGGCGCTCTGGGAGGGCAGGTCGCTGAGCGAGCTGCAGCGGGCCAGGCTGTACAGGTAGTCGGGGTCGCTGCTGCGCCGCTGCCAGGCCTTGGCGGGCAGCAGCGGCTCGGCCATGGGCGTGAGGGCAGAGCTCCGGCGCAGCGAGGAGCGGGAGTCCTGGCGCGCCAGGCGCCCGGGGTACTGCAGGCTGGAGCGCAGGAAGATGCTGTCGCGCACCAGGTGCTCCTTGAAGAGGGCCTCGTCGATGCTGCGGCTCAGGTTGATGGGCGAGGGCGGGCGGAACTCCAGCTCGCCCAGCGACAGCACCGACTCCTTCTCGAAGCAGACGCTGGTGTAGGAGCGCCCCATGCGCGCGGCGTTGGGGCACTTGGGGCTGGCGCCAGCCCGGCCCAGCGAGGAGGTGGAGCCCCTGGCAGAGAAGGCCCCCGTCGCCCTCACCTCGTTGCTGCCCTTCAGTGCCCGCAGGTGCACCTGCTCGGGCGGGTTGCGGATCAGGCTCTTGCTGATGTCGTTGCTGGCCGCCCGCTCCTGCGTGCCGTGGGCCCAGTCGTAGCAGTTGTTGGGGTACTCGGGCGCCTCGGCCTTGCGGTAGGTGCAGAAGTAGCGGACGAGCTTGGCCCAGCAGGTGTGGTCAGCGGAGCCGCAGCACTGGCACAAGGGGTGTGAGGCCACGAAGCACAGGGCAAAGGCCAGCAGCAGCTCGCAGATGCGGAACCAGAACTGCACGAACCACCAGGGCCAGGAGAACTCCCCCGGCGGGCCCAGCACCCCGCCCAGCCACAGGGCCCCGTACGCCTGGAGCCCACAGCACAGCAGCCCCAGAGCGCTGCACCCCAGCAGCACCCGCGGGCAGGGGCCCAGCCCCTGCAGGGCTCTGCCCTGCCCAGGCAGCTCCTGGGGGTCCTCACAGCCAAGCGACACCCGCTGGGCCTCGCCCGGCCTGGCAGGCTGGTGGGGCCGCAGCTGCCAGTATGCAGCCAGGCTGGCCAGCATGAGGGAGGTGCCGCAGGCGCAGGAGAGCAGGTGCAGCCCCACGCCCAGCACGGGGCTCAGCAGGGGCGAGAGCAGGTCGGCTCCCAGCAGCACGGTGCTCTGGAGCGAGGCCAGCGCGGCCAGCAGGGGCAGGCGCTGCAGGGGGGGCGGCAGTAGCTGCAGCTGGGCCACGCGCAGGAGCAGCAGCAGCAGCAGGGCGAAGGCGCTGAGCAGCAGCGGGAAGGGCGCGTTGTACAGCAGCCGCACGGCCGGGGCGGGCAGCCTGGCCCTGGCGCCGTAGGGGTCGGCCAGGAGGAAGGTGGCGCGGAGCAGGCCGGCGCCCAGCAGCAGGGCGTTGGCGCCCAGGGTGTAGGGCAGGTGGGGCAGGCCCAGGACGGGCGAGCCGATGAGGCTGGCCACGCAGACCAGGCTGAGCAGCAGGAAGAGGGTGCTGGCGCCATAGACGTGCAGCTCCCAGGCGAAGCCGAGCGTGCGCTGCAGGTCTGCCCAGCGCAGCAGCGTCTGGTTGGGCTGCAGGAGGCTGCAGGCCCCACTGGCATGGGGGCAGGGCAGGCTAGAGGCAGGCACCGTGGCTGGGACGCTGGGCCCAGGCCTGGGCAGAGGGGGGCGCTGGAGAGCTCGCTGGGTGCTGACTCTGATCAGGCCCCGCTGGGGAGTGGCTGGGGGCTGGGAGTGGGTGGGCACAGGGGCCGTGGTGCTGCCAGGGCCAGGAGGTCGGGTCCCATCTGCAAACAGCAAGGGGCACATTGTCACCAGGGCAGCGTGTGCCACCCCACTGCAGAACGTCCCACAGCTGGGCTGCTCCCCACCCGCTGGCCCTCTCCCCGCCCAGGGTCCTGCAGACCCCTTGCGCCCCCCGGGTCTCTGTGCCCGTTCTGCCCTGCTCTGCATCCATTCCTTGCATCCACGTTGCCATAGCAACTTGCATCCTGCAGCAGCGTCCAATCAGCTGCTGCCAGGGTTCCCCATCCAGAGCAGAAGCCTGAATCCCTCACCCGTCCCCTCTGGGCTGCCTGCTGTGGCACTTCAGCCCTGCCAGAGGTGCCCCCTCCCAATGGGGCTGGGCACCAGCAGGAGCAGCAATGGGCGTGGGGCTGCAGTGGGAGATACCTGCGTGCTGGGACGGTGGGGGGGGGACTGGCACAGCCCCCCCCCCGAGCCATTTAAAGTGACAGCCCCAAACCCCAACAGCCTCCATCTGAGCCCTGTGCCCCTCCCTCAGCCCCACCATCGCCTGCAGTCACCCCCAGCACGGGAAGGCAGCTGGAGGGACGCTGGCAGACCTGGGGGGAGTAGAGACCCCAGGGCTGGGCTAGCAGGGGCTGCGGGTCGGGAGTGAGGGGCATCGGCAGAGAGGTGACATTTAGGGGGGGCATGTGGGGTCAAGTGCCCCCCAGCTTGGCCGGCCGGGGGCAGGGAGGGAGAGGGGCTCTGTCCTTCTCTCCCTGCTGAGTTCAGCCCCAGGCGCCCTTGGGCCAGTCGCCAGCTGCCCATGGACAGGGCGGGGTGTCCCCCCTCCAGCAGGGCCGAGCCCATCACCAGCGGGGAGCCCAGCTCCGCTCCCCCCACCAGCTCCCTGAGGGCTCTGGGCCAAGCCCTGTCCTGCATGGGGGGAGGGGAAATCCCCTGGGCCTGGACCATTCACCCACCCCGTGGCGTCCGGGCACGCAGCCCAAGTGCCCCCACTGCCAACCCCTATGGGTAACTGCCCCCCATGGCGCAGCCCCGCTCAGTAAGTACCCACAGTGCACTGTGGCCGCAGATACCCGGGCTCCGGTTCTGGCTGTGCCCGGCGTTCTCCCTGCACCCAGGGCTGGCCAGACCCCCCCCAGCACCCATGCTCTGCATGGGGAGGGCCCTGCAGGGGCTTCAGTGCTCCCTGGCTCCAACCCAGCCTGTCGCCAGCCCTGGCTCGCGTTTGCTTCCACCTGCTCCTGTTCCCAGCACCTGGCCGAGGCCGGGTCCTGCCCCCGCGGGGCTCTTGCAGGCAGCCCTGATGCGGGCGCCTCCTGCCTGCGGATTTCGGGGGCAGCGGAAAGGGCTGCTCCGGTCACAGAGATGGGAGAACTGGGCCCGGGGCCGGGCTGCAGCGAGTCAGGAACCCCCCCAGGAACGAGGGTTTGTCCCGGGCAGGATCAGGGTCCCCGGGAAGCCCAGCCGGATGGGGGGGGGGGAGGCAGGCAGCCAGCGCTGATCCCTGTGGGGGGAGGGGATTAGGCACCGTCACTAGGAACAGCCCTGATTGAAGTTGTCACTGAGCCCCAGCCAGATATAGCTGCTCCCTGCCCCCCAATCCCCTTAGGGAGCAGCCTGGCTCCTCTGACGGCATCAGTGCCCCCGTGACCCCCAGACTGCCTGGCTGGGGGCCAAAGCCCAGCCGGCCCTACAGCTCCTGTCTGGGCCAGGCCTCTGACGAGCCCCTCTGCTCTGCGGGTGTTCAGGCTGCCGGGGGGGGGGGGCGGGGGAGCACCTCGACATTCCCACAGGCACCTCACAAGGCAGGTCCCAGCACCCCCCCAGGAGCGCCTCTAAACTCTGCATCCTCAGTCCCCGCAGGGCTGGGTAGGACTGGGCCAGTTGGGACCCACTGGGGCCGTCTCTGAGCCCGCGGTGCCCAGGCCCTGCCGGGGCAGCCCCCAGGCCCAGCTGCCTGTGGTGGTGGGAGAGAGGGGCTGACTGAGTCACGGGACGGATCCCCCATCACCTGAGTGCCTGGTCCCCGGCGGCGGCGGCCTGGGGGCAGAGGTGGCCGTGGAGGTGGCGTTCACAGGGGTTCTTGGGTCCACAGCTCCCCGGACTCGCTGCGGGGCCCCAATCTCTTCGTCTGCTGCAGCCCCTGAAACAGAACCAAGGGCCCGGGGGCCTCAGGTGGCTGCACCGGCTGCCCCATGGCCATGCACTCAGCCACACTCGCCCAGGGGTGAGCAGAACATGAGAACGGTCAGACTGGGTCAGACCAAAGGACCATCCAGTCCAGTATCCTGTCTTCCGACAGTGGCCAATGCCAGGTGCCCCAGGGGGCGTGAACTTAACAGGCAATGATCAAGTGATCTCTCTCCTGCCATCCATCTCCATCCTCTGACAAACAGAGGCTACGGACACCATTCCTTACCCATCCTGGCTAATAGCCATTAACGGACTTAACCTCCATGAATTTATCTAGTTCTCTTTTAAACACTGTTATAGTCCTAGCCTTCACAACCTCCTCAGGCAAGGAGTTCCACAAGTTGACTGTGCGCTGCGTGAAGAAGAACTTCCTTGTATTTGTTCCTGCTGCCTATTAATTTCATTTGGTGACCCCTAGTTCTGATATTATGGGAATAAGTAAATAACTTTTCCTTATCTACTTTCTCCACATCTCTCACGATTTTATATACCTCTATCATATCCCCCCTGAGTCTCCTCTTTTCCAAGCTGATTTATATAAGGGCAATAAGATATTCTGTGTCTTATTCTTTATCCCCTTTTTAATGATTCCTAACATCCTGTTTGCTTTTTTGACTGCCACTGCACACTGCGTGGACGTCTTCAGAGAACTATCCACGATGACTCCAAGATCTTTTTCCTGATTAGTTGTAGCTAAATTAGCCCCTATCATATTGTATGTACAGTTGGAGTTATTTTTTCCAATGTGCATTACTTTACATTTATCCACATTAAATTTCATTTGCCAATTTGTTGCCCAATCACTTAGTTTTGTGAGATCTTTTTGAAGTTCTTCACAGTCTGCTTTGGTCTTAACTATCTTGAGCAGTTTAGTATTATCTGCAAACTTTGCCACCTCACTGTTTACCCCTTTCTCCAGATCATTTATGAATAAGTTGACTAGGATTGGTCCTAGGACTGACCCTTGGGGAACACCACTAGTTACTGCCCCAGCCTCTCCCACAGCCACAGGGCGGGAAGCAGGAGAAGGGGCGTCCCGGTGCCTTTGGCAGAGGGTGAGGCACCCAGCCAGGGGGTGACAGGAGGCTTGTGGGAACATGGGGAGGTGCCCGTGGTGGGGAGGAGACCCCTGGGAGCAGCCCCCCACCAGCCGCATGGAGTCCAGGGCTGGTCACACGTACCTGGGCGAGGAGGCGTTGGGGCGGGTGACGTTCCCGGGCTGGTGTGGAGGGCGGGCCTGGCGCGGGGGTGCGCCGGTCCCTGTTCTGTGCCAGGAACAGTTTTTCCGGGGAGGTGCGGTGGCTGGGTCGCGGATCCGGGCAGCGCCCGCCGAGTGCTTCTCTGATGAGCTGAGAGCCCCTCTGTCCAGGCCGGGATGAGCCTCCAGGCGGGGCTCCCTTGTCCCGGGGGAGCTGGCTCGGTCAGGCGGCCCTGCACTGGAGCCAGGCTTGGCGGGAGCTCCAGTCGGCCAGCGCTGAGCACAGCGGGAGGAAGACCAGGCCACCCACCAGCCACGGAGCCCCCTGCTCCAGCCGTCTGCTGCGGCTGGGAGGTAGCAGCAGGCCAGGCAGCCAGGCTGGCTCCAGGGACCCACCATACCTCTGGCTGGGGCTGGCCGTCCCTGCCTGTGGGGTGCGGGGTCAGCCCCTGGGCATCGCCCCAGGGAGGGAGGGAGGACCCCTGGGTGTAGGAAGCCCGGCCCTTTCCCCAGGCATGCTCCAGCGGTTCCCCGGGCTCCCGGGGGACATTGGCCCGAGGCGCCGGCTGCCCCTTCCCTGGAGCCCAGCTCACAGGCCGGCCCTCCTGACCCACGCCCCCAGGGCCCACGTCTGGCGCCTGCCGCCACTCAGCGCTGCTGGCTCCTGCCACGGAGCCCGGCCTGGCCGCCAAGGCGACAGTGGACACCGTTGGCCTGGGGCGTGGCGTCCCGGCTGTGCCCAGACTGTCCTGCCCAGCAGGGCCTGGGCTGCTCTCTGCCCCAGGAGGCCTGGCCGGGCTGGGAGAAGCTGGCTGCAGGGTCCTGGGGTCTGAGCCCGAGGGCAGTTCTCTGCTCTCGAATGCCAAGGCTCCTGGGCTGCCTCCGGTTCTCAGAGCCCCGGAGCCAGGCGCGGGCGTGAAGGGCCAGCTCCCCGAGCCAAGCCCAGTGTGTCCCTGGAACGTGGCCGTGGCTGGGCCAGGGCCCCCAGCCCCCTCAGTGCCAGCAGGTCCCGGAGCTGGGGGCACCTCCAGCGTCTGCCGAGAGCCATCAGCCCCCAGGAGCAGGGGCCAGGCAGGGGGTGGGAGAGCAGAGCTTCCTGCTGGGGCAGGGGGGGTCCCCGTGTCATGGCTGATGGCTGCAGAGTGGGCAGCAGGTGTCCCTGGCTGCAGGGGAGCACGGCTGGAGCCTCGCCACAGCTCATCATCCGGCTCCCCAGCCCCACTGAAGACCAGGCTCCCCCCAGGGGCAGCCAGCGCCAATGGGGAGAGGGCTGGCAGAGCCTGGCGGGTCCAGAGAGCCTCTTCGGAAGGGCTGCCTAGAGGGGGCCACCCAGCCAGCTCCTGCACCCAGCCAGGGCCCAGGGAGGCTCCCACAGCCCGTGGCCTGATGTGTCGCTCGCTGCTGAACGGCTGGGGCAGGGGAGAGGCTGGGAGCAGCGCCGGCACCAGGACCAGGCTCCAGGCAAGGAGCTGCGCTGCAGCCGCCATGGCAAACTGCTCCTCGCTCTTCACCCTGCAAGAGAAAGCAGAAGGCAGCCTTAGGGCGAGCCGGCCGCGACGGGGCAGCCCTCCGCTCTCAGGGATGGGTCGTGCCGTGCCGTGCCCGGGCCAGCAGGGAGAGCGGCAGGCAGACCAAAGACAGCAGAGGCGGAGAAGCCTGGAAA